GCCCTGCAGGACCCCCATCAGGGGCTAGGTGTGCCTCCCACAATCTTCTAGTGCACAGGTATTAGCATAAGGTATTAGCATGTTTTTCACTTGCCCTGAGCCATGAAAAAGAAAGATGGCAACCCACAAAGAAACGATCAATCTGTCCGTGTCCAAAGCATCAGCAATTTATGACAAGATTTGCACAGTGTAAGGAAAACGTATAGGGCTTTGGCATGGCCTGGCCAGCACCAGAGATAATTGTACAGGATTATTGGCAAGAGAGATCTGTTTTCAGGACAGGGAACGTATCGATTGCTCCTTTGGGAAAACTTCGGTCAGTTGGCCGTCCGGAGCCTCCCTCGCCGGCGTCAGGGAAGGGCCCCCTAAGCCATGGGGTGCTTTCTGTATGGAAAGACCCGGGTTCATCATCCCCTCCCAGGCCGGCCTGGGGGGAGGAGAGGGAGACCCCGTCTGAGCCATGAGCCTTGGTCCTCAACTGTAAGTAAATGAAACCCTCTAGTATTCTTTTGGCAGCGAGTGAGTTATAGAGGCTAGATAACTAAATCAATAAAGGGCTGGCTAAATCGGGGACTTGAAACTATTCTGTTCTGTGAATCCCTGCACTTCTGCTGCTCAGAGAAAAATTTTAATCAAAATTCAAAACTCTGTAACCCAATCTGCCCCGCTTCCTCACAAAAGCCCTTTCAGCACAAAAATGCAGCCTCCTCTTCTTCTCGTTTGGAAACACACAAATGTAAGGGATAAATATTGGTTTCCTGATGTTCTCTTTCTCTCTCATCCAGATATGCACAGATTTTTTTGCATTTGTGAAAAAGAAGCTGGGGTTTCCAGTGTGACAGCATGAGACCACGGGGTCCCGATACACGGGTGACGGCAAGAGGAGAAGAAGACGTGAAAAAATTATAAACTGCAGGGAATGGTGGTATCTGCCATATAGTATTATGGAGGGAAAATGGTTTTGTAACTATTTTTGTAATTTGGGGGTTTGGAGATGAAAGGGGGGGCTCTTGTTAATCATTTATCACAAGTTGTTTTGGAAAGTGTTTCGATGCAATGGCTCTGTTTAAAAAATGTTTTAAAAAAAGCAATATATTAGTACCCAGCCTCTTTCAAATACACGAATATGCAGTTACTGGGAGTGTTGTATGTTCATTTTTTCTGCAAAAGGAGATCCATGGCATTAGGACATCATTTTCACAGCCAAGGGCTCATCCTGATGCAGCATTTGTGGCTCAGTGTTTCTCCACCTTTTCTCTCAATGGCTGAAAGAGGGTCACGAGATTTACTGGACGTTGCATTCTGATGGTGGCCGGTCTAACGCTCCACTGTTTTTCTACTTAGAGCTGTGTTTGCCCCAAATTATGCTTGGCAGTACCCAGTAAGGATCCACTCTTCAATAAAATTCAAGTGTGCCTCCTTGTGCTGAAATTCTGCATAAAAAACCCGGATTATCCAAAAAGTTTAATGGATGTCCTTTGAGGATTATAGAAACTGCCCCCATGAGTTGTCTTTCTCAAAGAGGTCTTGTAAGAAGGCTCAGTAGCAGGCCAGGACTTTATTTTTCATTTTTTTGTAGCTCAGATGTTTTATATATATATATATATATACACATACAAAATTACACAATATGACAGCAGCATTTGTTCATCTTTGTAAGGCGGTGTGGAGCGAGAAGGGTCCCAGATTCCCTCTGAAAGCTCAAGGGAGTGGAGAGGGGGTGGTTTTTTCTCCATACCATCTGAATTAGGTTCTCAAGGTGGTCTTCAAGTACCAGGATTATGGGAGGTCAGGAGAGAAGCCTTGCTGAATTATGTCTTCACACGAAAACTTTATCGTGTGCCAGAATAAAAACAGTCGGTTCTTCGTCCATTTTGGATGGGTTTCTGTTCATGAATAAATATACACACACAAACACATCTTTTATGACTTGTTTTAAGGGGATTTCGGTGGCATTCCAAGCACCATAAAAGGTGAGGAGAGCTCAGAAAACATAATCCTTGGGAACACAAGGTCCTTAATCTCCACCCTCCACCTCACCCTCAGGAAAAGTAGCTTCCACACACACACAACCAGGGAGCCGTGAGAAGACTCTTTGCCTCACGTCCATGGCTTAGAAAGGCCACATTTTTGGACTAAAAATCACACTGGCCATATCGACCGTGAGGTTCTGGAAGCTACGAGGCAGAGCACAACTTTTCCAGACACGGATCTCAAGTCTGCTCTTTGTGCGGAACTCATCGATCCATCCGTTGGTTTATTAGTCTCATTTTCATATGGAATGGAAGCTTCCCAAGTTCACCACTTAATGCAAAGTTTCGAGAGGTTGCCTAGACATGGATTAAAAAAGCATCCCCACCTGGATGCGATGGGTCTAAAGCAGCCTGATGCGAGAATCCAGCTGCTGCAGATGATCGAGGACCCCGTGGGGAATGGCCGGGTTCCACAACCTGGAAGAGTTTTTGAAGACAAAGGGGGGGGGAGAGAGGAAGAAAAACTCGAGACTGAGCAAGTTAGCTTCACACACCACGTCTGGTAAAGCAAACGCTGCTTAACACGGAGGCCCCTAAGGGATCCGTCAAAGGCACATCCGAAGCTGCGCAGGATGAGAAAGGCTCACCTCACTCTCTGGATGTGGGGGCACCTTCTGATGCTCTCCGTGAAATGCTGGGCTCCGCCGGCCGTGATCTTGTTGCACTGTATGCTAAAAAGAAATTGTCATTTCCGTTTTTACGTCACAACAGTGGCTAATATTTAGCCAAATAACCCCAAGTAAAAGAATATGGATTCTCCTGGAAATTTTAGCTTCTCGTGGCCATCGTTGGAAAGATGAGGGGTGTCGGAGAAGGGACCAGAGAGAAGTCGACACAGATCAGGCCCAGCGTGAAGACAGCGAGAGCAGAGAGGATCTTTCTCTGTCTTTCTTCATGCCTGCATTTGGAATGTCCCACCATCGACAGATGGGACTTGGGGCCAACAAGAGAAATAGGGTGCTCCCTCCAGATTGCCTTGTGGAACCCCCTGCCACAAGACAGTCTCTAGCGCATAGCATGCTGCGTTCCCCGTCCATGGTGGGGAAATACTGGCTTGCCTCAAACACACCACCAACATTGTGGCTACAATGCTCATATCTGGGGGGGGGGTCCTGGCTTCTCCCCCTTCCCTCGGCGGAAGTTTCTAGGCTTCAAGAATCTGCTAGTGGACAGTGTTGGGACACTTACTCCAGGACCCGCAAGGAGGACATCCGGGGGAGCCTTTTGG